AAGATAGAGTGATATTTCTCAAAACATGGCCACTTTCCGACCCCGTGGACTTCAACTCCCAGAATTCCCCAACCAGCCTGTTTATTGGGTATTTTACCAGAAAAATACAATAAAGGGAATGCATATTTAATTTAACGTGTGTTAACAGCAGTTAGAATTCTGTTGGCACAGAAGTGGAAAAATGGAGAGATGCCTATTGAGGAACATGTAATATGAAAAAAAAAATACTAGGATGTATAGAAATGGATAGATTAACATGTAATCCTTCCCTTATGCTTCTATGTTTCTAACTTCTGTTTCTGCTAGTTAGCCATTGATAAAACAAATCCCATATTAAAAAGTATTGAGTTTCTTCCTCCTCAGGAGAATGATTAATTACATAAGGAAGGCCCACTGAAATGGATAAGCAAACACTACTCTTATTATGGGATCAATATTAATGGTATGAATATTACTGTTTTTATTATGATGACTATTTTTCAAATGTAACTGTACTCCGTTTATATAGACATTGGATTTTTTATACTTAATAAAAACTTCTAAAACTTGACAAAAAAACCTTGGATGCTACCTGTATCTTGGCAGTTGGAGGTTCTGGCCAAGGGTGAAATGTTCTGAAGTCTGCTACTGGTTCGCTTTGTGTGTGAATGCGCTCCAAACATGGACACCGCAGGCACTGATTGTTGGAACTACCTGTTCACCCAAACCGGTAGTAAAAAAATGCTACTGGTTTGGGTGAACTGGTAGTTCGGGCGATCAGTTTTGTGACAATCAGCTGTGCCATGGAACTTTTAAATCGTGCCGCACAGCTGATCATTGCACAGCTTATCGTCAGAACCCAACCGGTAGTAAAAATTGCTACATGTTTGGGTGAACCGATAGTTCCAAAGATCAGCTGTACAACAATCAGCTGTGCCATGCGATTTTTAAATGGTGCTGCACAGCTGATCGTTGCACAGCTTAATCAGATTCTCTGTGCACAGCTTAATCAGATTCTCTGTGCGCTGTGGGAGAACCAAAATGGTAGTAAAAATTGCTACAGGTTCGGGTGAACCGATAGTTCCAAAGATCAGCTGTACAACAATCAGCTGTGCCATGTGACTTTTAAATGGTGCTGCACAGCTGATCGTTGCACAGCTTATCGTCAGAACCCAACCGGTAGTAAAAATTGCTACATGTTCGGACGGACCAGTAGTTCCGATGATCAGCTGCATGACAATTTGCTGTACCATGCGATTTCTAAATCAGACGGGACAGCTGATCATCGGAACCAAACCGGTAGTAAAAATTGCTACAGATTCGGGTGAACCGATAGTTGCAAAGATCAGCTGTACAACAATCAGCTGTGCCATGCGACTTTTAAATGGTGCTGCACAGCTGATCGTTGCACAGCTTATCGTCAGAACCCAACCGGTAGTAAAAATTGCTACAGGTTTGGGCGAACTGATAGTTCCGACGATCAGCTGTGTGACAATTTGCTGTACCATGCGATTTCTAAATCGGATGGCACAGCTGATTGTCGGAACCAAACCAGTAATAAAAAATGCTACCGGTTCAGGGGAACCGGTAGTTCCAACAATCAGCTGTGCAGCACAGCTGATTGTTGCACAGCTGATCATCAGAACTACTGCTTTGCCTGAATCAGTAGCATTTTTTTTTACTACTGGTTCGGGCAAACCAGTCCAAGCTGGTAACATTTCATCTCTGATTCTGGCCTTGAAGAAGGTTTGCTCCATGCCTCTCTCCCATCTGTGCTTAATCTGAATGGACCAGGATCTCCTCGATGGTGGGGCCTTGGGACTTCCTAGGAGTCACTTCCTTTTCTTCCACCTTCGCTTCAAACATGGTGGGACATTACCTTCAGATCTGGAGGGTAGTTCCTTCCCTTCCTGAAACATCAGGTACGAAGGTCTCCTGAACTGGATGGTCTCCAGAATGGCCAAGATCTATATTCATTCTGCCTGCCCTTTGCTTGTTGTGCTAGAAATAGGCAGCCAAGCACTGCTTTTGGGAGCCTGGGGAAATTGTCTGTGTGTGTGTGTGAGAGAGAGA